TAAGTTTAAATAGTTTTTATTTTGTTAATTTAATAATTATAATATTATAGATATATTTAAGTGAGCCATGTGCATAGGCAACCAAATATACACTGAATTAAGTCTGTGTTATTATGACATAAGAGTGAATTTGAACAGAAAGTGACATTTGAATAATAATTACGGATGTAAAATAGTGTTATTTATTAATTTAAGATGTTCAGTTTATATATAAGTTTATATTCTGATCTGAAAAGCCCAAATGTCCATAAAATTCTCGACTGAAGGGTAAAGAATTCTCTAGAAAACGTCAATATAAGAAAGATAACCCTATTTGCGAGGTAGACTATTCGAGAACATTCATACATCTATAAAATAGAACAATTCGAATATGATTTATTTCAAGAATATTCTTGAACAATGAAATGATATAAATACTCGATGTTTTGGAAGAGAGTTGGACAGTTACAGTTGAACAGTTAGACAGTTAGTAACAGTGGGACAGTACGAGAGTAAATTAAAATAGTTGGACAGTTAGACAGTATGAGAGTAAATTAGGACAGTAACAGTTGGACAGTTAGACAGTTAGTTAGTGAATCCATTAAGAAGTTAGTCAGTTAGTCGGTCAGTATACAGTGATCAGTATTAGAGTATTAATTATACTCAGCATACAGTACAGTATGTATATGGTGATTGGAGATTAGAAAAAATTAAAAATTATATTATGTATATATTGATTGGAGATTAGAAGAAATTAAAATTATAATGGTTATATGGTGATTGGAGATTAGAACAAATTAAAATTAGGTACCAAATTTTGTTAATATAATTTAATTATTGTAAGAATTTTAAATTTAAGATAAGTTGTTCTAAATTTATATTGTCTATATTAGATATACAGGGTGTTTCAAAAAAAGGTAACCCCTTAGTCAATATTATTAACATCATTCAATTTTACACGAAAAAGGTACTCTTGGTAAAACTCGATAATGTGTACCGTTTTCGGAATATTTTGATTTGAAAATTATGAAGTAATAATTGATGCTGGTATAAAATAGTTAGTAATTAAACAAAACTCACAAGAAGAAAATTAAATTAATGACTAAGAACATAAAATAAAATTCAATTACAGTAAGTGTTCAAAATGCCCTCCATTTTCGCGAATACACAAGTATATTCTTTTTTCTAAAGATTCCATTAACCTTTTAAACGGTAGGGGATCAGCTATAATATCATTAAATTGACGTTGAATTCTTTCTTCCAATTCTTGGCGTGAATTTACCTATGTAGCATAGACCATTTTCCTTAATATACGACCAAACTGCGTAGTCCAAAGGGTTAAAATCGTATCACGGAGGAGGCCAATGAATCGGAACGTCTGCAACTCTACCAATCCATCGATTCGGAAAATGCGTACTCAACCAATTACGACACCTTCTATTAAAGTGTGGTGGAGCTCCATCGTGCATAAAAAATAAAGATATTCGCTCGTTTAGCATTAAATCTTCTAATATGTCGAATAAGGAATTGTTTAAAAAATCAAGATACATATCACGATTTAAATTTCCAGGTAGAATATGATAACCTATTAATTTGTTACCTAAAGTTGCTGCCCAAACATTAACTTTAAATGAGTGTTGGTAATGTGATACCCTTTTTACTCGTGGTTTCTCATCACACCAGTGTACATTATGAGAGTTAAACATACCTTGTCGCGTAAAGGTGGCCTCGTCCGTAAAAAGAATGCATTTTAAAAAATTTGGATTGTGGGCTATCCTTTGTTGTAATGTTTCACAAAAATCCACTCTAACTGGTAGATCATCTGGCAAGAGCTCTTGGACTTGTCTGTAATGATAAGGATGTAATTGCTGTTCTTTCAGTATCCACCAAGTACTTGAAGAAGAAGTATTTGTTTGTCTTGCTATATTCCTTACGCTAACTGTTGGATCTTGATCAAGTAAATTTAAAATATTATTTTCTTTAATAATTGTTCTTGTTGTTCTTGGTCTACCAGAATTTATTTTATTTGGTCTCACATTCCCAGTTTCTCGACAGCGTCGTTCAACGGCTCTAAATGTTTTTTACTTGGTAAGTTTCTTCTAGGAAACTTTTCTGCATAACGTGTCACAGCTGCACTAGAACATCCTAAACATTCGCCTAAGGTTAATAACGTTAGTGTATTCAACATTTGAGTACATTTTGATTTGATTTTACAAATAACAAGGTTTCAAAACTCTAATTATTGTTGATTTATCGTCATAACAATCAATAAATGTCAGATTTCTATGGCACACTTGGAGAAAGAGAAAATAGAGGTATACCTATTAGAATTTTATCATTACTACCAGCATCAATTATTACTTCATAATTTTCAAATCAAAATATTTTGAAAACGGTACACAGTATCGAGTTTTACCAAGAGTACCTTTCACGTATAAAATTGAGTGATGTTTAAGTTTTCCCGCATGTCGAGTGACCATACTATTCTTTTTTATACTATGCTAATAGGCTCAAATCGTATGATGTCGGTAGCCAGTTTACATCAACTTCACATAAGATGATCATGGCTTATAATCGCTTATGCAGAATGTCCAATATAGCATAAGTTTTGGGACACGCAGCACCTTGAATCATGAATCTTGAAACCTCGTGTCATGGTGCCCATGTCATCATAATCAGACCAAAATAAGTTTATAGATTTTAACGTGAATGATAAAGGCCTGGCCAATTCATTCTCAAATAAATATGGACCGATCCCTAGAGCTACTCTTTTTGAAAAGCCAAAAATGGATTTGTTTCATGGTGCGATCTATACAGAAGATCATAATATTAGAGGTAACCACGACAATATAATGTCTACGCTAACAAAAAACAGCGTTAAAATATTGTTTAAGGAGTATTGTAACTACAGGAAAGTTTTTAGACAAAATAATTAAAAAATAGTATTCCAGAAAACAAAAGCTGAATCTACATTAAAAAGATTAAAAACAACAAAATCAAATCGAAACACGTAAATATTTATTTACATTTATATAAATTTAGTCGAAATTTCAAAAATAATAGCTTACCTAAACTTTGTTTTTAGAAATAATTAAAGATTATAAATATAGTTATATTTTGCTTATTATTACACTTAAAATATATTAAATAATTTTGGTTTACATGCAGATTTTATGGAAATATTTTCAATTTAAACAAGTTGTTTGGGTGCAATCAACTTTATTATCACTCCTAGGTAGACTCAATGAAAAATGACGTCTATTGAATAACATTTTTTAAATGTTTTCAATAATATGAAATATAAATTCATTCATTCTTTAGTTTATAGACCTTTTAGTTATATAGAGGTAAAAAAAAGATATATTTGGGGTAATGGCAAGATTAGTGCTTAAATACATACATAAAATAGAATTTTTTTGCTATTGTTGTTAACAATTCTCAATTCTACTAGGAATATGTATTAAAATGTCTTTATTTATTAAATGTTTTATAAAGAATAATAACATCGTTAATTAAAATCAAAACATTTTATTTATTATAGATAAAGTAAGTACAACAAAAATGTGCTATTTGTTAGAGAATTTTGTCGTGTTTTTAAGAGAACCAAATAAGAGAGAACCTGGATAGCTGAAAGGTAAGTTTATGTGCCTTTGTAGTCAAATGATGTGCGTTCGATTCCCACGACAAACACTAAAAGGGTTCTCAATCGAAGACTCAACCATACCATGTGAACTAGATTACTAAGGAGTAAACCTGGAACTACTTTTCTATCAGCTCTACTTCGTTGTCTCCAAAAGAAGTAGAGCTGGTTCAAAAATATATATATCTTGGACACGAAGTACAACAGTAATTATGGATAAAATAATAAAAATAGTAAGAACTAAAAAAGGATACCAAATGGAAGAAAAACAACTTACAATAATCTGCTAAGCAGACGACGCAATACTACTCTCACAAAGTGAAGATAATTTACAACATATGTTGCACCTAGCAAAAACAAATTTACTAAGATTTAAATTGGAGCTGGAAGGTCAGATGATAAAACAAGTGATGGAGTTTAAATATTTAGGCATCACATTATCTAGCTACGGAAAGCTCGAAACTGAAGCGGAAGATCAAGTGAATAGAGCAAACAGAGCCGCAGACTGCCTGAATAAAACACTATGGAGAAATAAAAATATCGGGAAAGAAACGAAAGGCAGAATTTACAAAACAGTCATCAGACCAATGATGACATACGCGGTAAAAACAAGAACTACCACAGAGAGGACAAAAAGGATGTTAGAAAGAGCAGAGATAACAACACTTAAAAAAATTAATGGTAAGACACTATGGGACAACCTAGAAGTACAGATATACGACGTAGATGCAAGGTTGAGAACATCAATAACTGGGTAAGAAATAGAAGAGTAAAATGGAATGATTATATAAGCCGAATGACAACAAATATTGTAGTAAGGATGGCAAAAGACGGTTCCCCAATAGAAAGACGATCAGTGGGAAGATCACGGAAACGATTGAACGGCAGCTTTCTAGAGGCAGAGAGTCATGTCTATATAAGAAGAAGTAAAGTCTATACTTTAATTCGCTGTACGATATCTGTGTTTTAATCGTAAGAGATCTAGAAGATGTTTGTGAGAGTTTGCATAGTTCGTTGTGATCTGTTATGATGATATTGCTTTTTATTATTAAGTAGTCACTTTTGAAGTTGTTTGATATTTATTTGAGTTTTTTTTATGGAAGTTTAAAGATTTATGTTTTGTATTTCCATTGTTTTTTTCGAGCTTTCTTTTTCATTTTTTGTTGATATTGAGTATTGATTTTCCAGTTTCTTTTGTAATTTTTTTCTAGTTTCATTATTTTTTAAAGCTTCAGTATTACTTTCAAGGTATTTTGTAGGCTTAGGGATTATTTTACATTTGAACTTGAAATTACTTAATAATGGATTATAGTCGAAATATTACTACATTGACATTAACTAGACGTTAACAAAGAATTTGATTATTATTTTTCTATTTTAGGTTCCTGATGTTCACATGTGAAAATCAATGATGGGTTAATAGAAGCAAAAATCCAACAATACTTCACTAACAATCAAAAATATTTTTATTTTAATTAGTTTAAATAAATGATCAAAAATGTTCCTGAAATTTAACATATTTGGTAAGGATTATGCACAAATTGCTGCAATTGCTATTGGTAAGTACCTTAAGTGTTATTTTTTCTTAAATGTGTACAAAAAATACAAATCGTTAATGAAAATTCAAGTGCATTGCATTGAACTACTTAAAATTAAAATGGACTCGGTTAAATTATGCTGAAAAGTGTCATGTAATTATTTGCCAAGAAAAAAATAGACGAAAAAAAAAACGTTTATAAAATACACAAGGAAATTCAAATTCCTGCAGTTAGCTGTATACGATAAATCACAAAAGTTTTATTTAAAATTCGTTTATAAAAGATATATAATTAAAAAGGCCCTTTCGGGATATATCACAACAGAAGGTTTTTGGACTTACTAGTCCATCATTATACATGCACTGATGATGGACTAGTAAGTCCGGCGCTAAAGCCACATAAGACTTTTCATTCCGTTTTGAAGTCTGTATTCAGCTTACAACAGTTTCTGTTTTCTTTGGTATCAATAGCCAAATTTTAGTGCTTACAATACAAAATAATTTTAATAAATTTAGATTTAAAATAATATTTTCTTATTTGGAAAGGTAGCAAATAAATAAAAAAGCAAAATTAATCTTCAATTTTCATTCAATCAAAATTTTCCATATAAATTTGGAAGATTTCTTTAAAAATTAATAACTGGAAGAAAAATACATTAACAAATGATCGAAGAAGCAGAAAAACAATGTGCAAGTGTATGAAGTTTGAACGCAATTTGTCACTACTCAAATTTAAGCTAACGCCGTCACTGTGGTTTGCAACACCTACATGTTAGATATCACTTGATATGAGTTAAAAAACAGACAGCTCCGTCAGCATGCCTGACGCCCCTTCATCCCGCACACCCATTTCATTTAGTAGTAAATGCCTCTAATTGTTTTAAAACACAGTCACCTAAGTTATTTAAGCTGTAAAGTCACTCAAGACATTGTTCTCTTTTTCTATTTTTCTCTATCTTTCGTTTTGCCCAAAAGCAAAGTGTAATTTAGTATTGCAAAGTGTAATTTATTATTGCAAAGTATACAACTATAAATTAACTATATATCGTGGGATTGAAATAAACCGCTGAAGTATTATGTTTAATTTCATACTCCTAAGAAACACGAAGATGTCGTCACAAAGGTTTGACGCATATGGAAAATTTGTGAAAATAACGTACATATTTTCCTTTATGGTCCTTCGAGCCGGATTATATTGGAAAACCAACTATTAACCGCCACTGTGGTTTATAACACCTGCATTACAGATTTCACCTGATATGGATTAAAAAGCCAGTTCCAGTCTGCACACCTCGCTCATTTAGTAGTCAGTGCCTCTAATTGTATTAAAAGACAGTCACCTTAAGTTATTCAAGCGGTAAAGTCGTTTAAGACATTATTTTCTTTTCTTCTTTCTGTTTCTCTCTCGTTCTGCACAAGTATAATTTAATATTGCAAAGTGTAATTTATTATTACAAAGTGTATAAGTATACGTTAACTATATATCGTGAAGTTGAGATAAACTGGTGAAGTAAAGTGTAGTGTATAATTTCACTCCCATAAGAGACACACAAAAAGAATCAGCTACCATACCAAATCCTGTGATACAAATTCGATAGGTCGTCACGAAGGTTTGACGCTTTAAGGGAAATTTATAAAAATTACGTACTTATTTTCCTTTATACGGCATATATTGTCTTAAATACATCTAAGCTACAGAAAACTTTTCTGAAAGATTTATAAATTGCTCATTTCGTTTAGCGCAAAGGACAGAAGATGATAATTAATAAATTGTTTTTGTTCCTGGCCATCAGAGTAGATGGTACTGTTGTACGATGTCACTTAAGCAGGCTAGTAAAGTTTTCTAGATAAAAGTCAATCTATAAATGTTGGTCATCCAGTCAAAAACACCTTATGTAAAGATACAGTTAGTTCACATTAATTCGCAATTGAAATAGATTAGGCTTATTACCTTAAGTCTTTATATATCAGCCTTACCGTGGTCTACCCAGTTGCTGTCTTGAAATTACACAGAACGACCCCTGGGCGAGAAAATATTGAACCAGGAAGTAATATAGGTTGGGTTGAGAATTTTTTTGAATAATATGGTAATAAAACTGTCTGTCAGGTTTAAACCTTGCCATATAAAAATAATAATTATAGACACAATACCACCTCCAGATGTATACGAAACTTTTTGGGGAGATACTCCAGCATACCATGTCAACTAGTGCTCGAAAACATGAAAAGAGTTTCAACAGAGTTCAATTTTTTTGATACCGTAGGTATTTTTGTGATGTGTGAATTTTCCCCTTAGAGGGAGTGTAGGCCGTAAATCTAGACACAAAATTTACTTAGCATCTGACTGTATGGGTTAATTCTGAAGACAAGACAAGAAAGATGATTTTTCTAGAGAATACCTTGATAAAAGTGCAAAGTAGCAATGCTGAAAAACAAATAATGTTGTATAAGATGATCGAAAAATAAATGAACTAATTAGAGTAGTGGCAGAATAAAGGGAAAAAATAAATGTAGTATTTGAATTTTATCCACGACTTTATTTTTAGAAAATAATTTATCAGTTTATACCATGCGGTCCATATGTATGGAAAAAATTCATTTTTAGCGTTATTAAGTACTATGTGAAAAAACCCGAAACAGGTCGATTTTTATTCTTAAATTGACAATTTACAGTATGAAAATAATATCTTCTTCTAGCACCCCCTTTGAATTATAAGCCCACCCTCGAAAATTTTAAATAGCAAAGGTGGTCGTGTAGTACCTTGTTAGAAAGGGATTTTAGTTCTCTATTCAGTAATATTAAGTTTTTTAAGTTTGGTGCAATAATATCCTAGAAAATTGATTTTTAAAATGTAAAACTTTGATAATGTCTTTACCACAAAACTTTAGGTTGAATGAAGATAATAATGTCACATAATATTTAAAATGTATTTTTCAATGTACTTTACAATTAAATTAAATGTTCAAAATCACCACTATTCACTTTTTGACAATACTCGAGGCGATTTTGGAATTCTTGTACATTTTGTACGACTCCGGGAGTTATTTTGTTAATTTCTTCCGTTATCCCAACTTTTCAATCAGCAATACTGTTTGATCTAGTAAATTATACTTAAGATTTTAAATAACCCCATAGGAAGTAATCGGGAGGAGTAAAAATCGGGGGATCTAGCCGGCCATTCGATTGTTCAACGTCTTCCAATCCACCTATTGGGAAAAACCTCGTTTAAATACTTTCTTCTTACAAGTGCAAAATGCGGTAGAGCTCCACCTTGTTGGTAGCAAAAAGGTCCATCTATCTATTTTCGATAGATTATAGAATCATTAGGCAAAAATCTGTGTAATGTAGGCACTAAAAATTTAATCAAAAAATCTAGATAAACCTTCATCAACTGCGCCCTCAAAAAAATAAGGACCAATAATTTTATTGTTAATAATACCAGCCCAATCGTTAATTTTTTAGGATATTGCGTGTGAGTCTCATACACTCAGTGAGGATTTTCTCTGCTGCAATATCTACAGTTCTGTTTGTTAACCGTTTCGTTTAAATGAAACGTCACTTAATCAGAAAAAAACTATTTTGTTTATGAACTGCAAATCTGCGTTCATTCTGTCCATCAGCATTCCACAGAATTCTGGCCTTCTATCAGGATTATCTTCATTTAACTCCTGAACAAACTGAACTGTGTAAGGGTGGTATTTTTCTTTATGTAAAACTCTCAAAATAGATGATTTACTTACATCATTGATGGCGGCAAGTTCTCGAGTTGTCATCGGATTTTCCTCAATCTCTAGAAGTACATCTAACTTTTTTTCATCAATAAATTTATTATTTCTACCTAGTTTTTCAATCTTTTTTACATGTCCAGTATAACGAAAGTTCTTTGCAATTGTGCTAACTGTAGACTATGAAACTTGTTGACCAGGGTATTCATTATTAACATTTCACAAACCTTATTTTGAGCTCTTATTTTATTACCATAACGGAAGAAATTAACAAAATAACCCCCGAGGTCATACAAAATGTTGTATGAGAATTCCAAAATTGCCTCGGTTATTGCCAAGAAGTGAATAATAGTGGTCAAGTTGAACATTTAATTTAATATTGTAAAAATTAATTTTGTTATAATTGTACAAACTCAAAAAACTTTACATTGCTGAATAGAGGACTAAAATCCCTTTATAACAAGGTGCTACATGACCCCCTTTGCTATTTAAAATTTTCGAGGGGGTGCTTATAATTCAAACGGGGTGCTGGAGAGGGATATTATTTTCATACTGTAAATTGTCAATTTAAGAATTAAAATCGACCTGTATCAGGTTTTTTTCACATAGTACGTAATAACGCTAAAAATGAATTTATTTCATACATATAGACCACATGGTATACAAACAATTTTATTTTTAAATCATAGGTCAAACGCCCATCGAATCATTTCCGAAACTTAATTTACGTTAATGATTATATAAACAGTTTCGTTAAACAGTTAATATAAAAAACAATAACATCATTTTACACCATTAATGTACATATTTATTATCTATAAAATATTTGTCACGGAAAGTTTTAAATCGCCGTGTCATAAATTACAAACAAAAATAAGTTAGTAGAGAATATTATTATTAATTATATCGAAATATTTACTGTCTTTGTTAATTTTTTGTGTTTTTCTTGTTATAGTGTTATAAAATTTCGTAAATTAATTATAAGTAAAGATAATTGGTTATGAGGAAGAAGTTGCTAACCAGAAACGTAAATATACATATTTATCAGCAAATATGTTTTATAGGCTTTTGATTAAAAGACATTGTACTAGTTATTTACAGAGAAAAGTTAAACTGAGTGCAATATTTAAATTTAGACTTCAAAAAACACTTTAACAATCATGGAAAAATTGTATCTGAAACATATTTTACACATCGAAGCTACTTCAAACATTCGAACTACGTATTTAAAAGATCATAATGCCAAGCATACACACTGGGGATCTAGATTAATGACACCAAAAGGTAGACAACTAT